GGGAGCCTTTTGGAAGCAAATTTCGGCCTTTTGGCGGCCCCTCGGCCGGCTATTGAATTTCTCTTCTGCGATCATTGGGAAACGGCCGTTTTTGGCCAAATCCTGGCCGGGAGCCTTTTGGAAGCAAATTTCTGCCATTTGGCGGTCCCTCGGCCGGCTATTGAGTTTCTCTTCTGGGATCATTGGGAAACGGCCGGTTTTGGCCAAATCCTGGCCGGGAGCCTTTTGGAAGCAAATTTCTGCCATTTGGCGGCCCCTCGGCCGGCTATTGAATTTCTCTTCTGGGATCATTGGGAAACGGCCGTTTTTGCCCAAATCCTGGCCGGGAGCCTTTTGGAAGCATATTTCTGCCATTTGGCGGTCCCTCGGCCGGCTATTGAATTTCTCTTCTGGGATCATGGGAAACGGCCGTTTTTAGCCAAATCCTGGCCGGGAGCCTTTTGGAAGCAAATTTCTGCCATTTGGCGGTCCCTCGGCCGGCTATTGAATTTCTCTTCTGGGATCATTGGGAAACGGCCGTTTTTGCCAAAACCTGGCCGCAAGGTTTTACACAGAGAAGTCTTTACTCTAAGGAGCTTTTGCACACAAACGTCTAGGAGCCTTTGCACACAGAAGCTGTTCCACGAAGAAGTCTTTACACAGATATATAGCTTTCATTCACAGACGCGTTTACACACAGAATCTTTTACACAGAGACGCGTTTACACAGAGAATTTTACACAGTGAAATCTTTACACAGACGCGCTTTCACACAGAGAAGCTTTCACACACAGAAGCTTTTACACAAAGAAGTCTTTACACAAAGTGGTTTTTACACACAGCAACTTTTACACGCAAAAGCTTTTACACAGAGAAGCCTTCAGCCAGAGGAGCTTTTACACACAAAAGCGTTTACACACAGCAAGCTTTTACACACACAGGGGCTTTTACACAAAGAAGTCCTTACACAAAGGAGCTTTTTACACACAGAAGGTTTTACACGGAGAAGTCTTTACCCTAAGGAGCTTTTGCACACAAACGTCTAGGAGCTTTTTCACACAAAACTTTTTACACGAAGAAGGCCTGACAGAGAGGGTTTTTACACACAGACGTGTTTGCACACAGAAGCTTTTTTTACACAGAGAAGCCTTTACACAGAGGAGCTTTTACACACAAAAGCATTTACACACACAGGGGCTTTTACACAGAGAAGTCTTTACACAAAAGAGCTTTTTACACACAGAAGGTTTTACACAGAGAAGTCTTTACTCCAAGGAGCTTTTGCACACAAACGTCTAGGAGCCTTTACACACAGAAGCTGTTACACAAAGAAGTCTTTACACAGATATATAGCTTTCACACACAGACGCGTTTACACACAGAGGCTTTTACACAGAGAAGCCTTTACACTTTACACAGAGAGTTTTTACACACCGAAGCTTTTACACACAGTGAAATCTTTCCACAGACATTTCACACAGAGAAGCTTTCACACATAGAAGCTTTTACACAAAGAAGTCTTTACACAAAGTGGTTTTTACACACAGAAACTTTTACACACAAAAGCTTTTACACAGAGAAGTCTTTGCACAGAGGCTCTTGACATGAAGTCACAAGTTGAAATTGGCAGCAGTTCTTCGGGAAAAACCCTTGGCAGGAGCTTTCGGGCACTCACTTGCTCCCCAAAAAAGCCGTCTATTTCCAACAAAGTTCCTGTTCTTTTTTTTCAAAAAACGTAAGGAATATGTTTCTGAAGCAGGTCCCCATCCAAAAGCTTTCCAGCCCCCACACTGCGATGAAATGGAGGGCCGAGAAATCCGGCGGAGCCGACGAGGGGCGTTAGCCCTTAAATAACTATATCTACCTACCATAAACATTTAAATAACCAAATTATGTGCGAACTGGGGCACCACCTTGTAGGTAAATGTTCCCTCTGGTAAACTAACAGTTTGCTATTGAAAATGGCCCACTGAAATAGTGGACTTACCCATGAAACATGGTGGATCTTTCCATGGTTTTTTGTATCTTTACCAGAGGGTAAATCAACGCACTCAATGGGCCATCTGCAGTCAATATCTTTGTTTTCCGTAAGTTCATGGAGATGTCCTGCGTGTTCACTACCAGTACCACTTTGGCTATTTAGCCCCCAGCGGTAATGTTTGTTGGTGGACGTAGTCCCCATGAACAATACAACCTCCATAAACCCAACACTTATTGGATTTATTTGCATCAACTTAGCTAACTCATACATATATATATATATATATATGCAAATCACCATTTTCCTTAGTTAATTCGATATAAACCATTTGCTTCCTATATTTTATCATATGGAGCACCACCGGGTAGGATCTGCAACCCACCCTGAGAATTGCTGGCAAGAGTCCATGTATGGATCGGTGAGGGTTTGCGTTCGGCACCACGCAGATTTGTCACCTAGGCTCTTCTCAGATTTCAGAGATCCCGCAAGGTCAGAAGGATGGCAAGTCCCGAATTTGCCCGGAAGATGGGGATTTCCAAAAATTGGGGATCCCCAAGTTACCCTCTGGTAAACTAACATAACTATGGAAAATCACCATTTTTAATGGGAAAATCCACTATAAATGGCCATCTTCAATAGCTATGTTAAATTACCAGAGAACCCCGTGGGTTTCAATACTACAATGCTCTAATAACTTGGATGATTTGGCGTACCAGGACTGTGGAAACCAAAAAATATCTGTTGCTTTATCTACCCACGTTGATGCTTAACCTCCCCTTGGGAGGATCACGATTTGATGTGTTGGCTCCGTTGATCAAGAACGAGTGGACAACCCCAACAGGGTGACTTTTTGACGATCTTTCAAGCGAGTGTAGCCCCTGGTACAGTAATCTACCCTCGCGAAACCGGAACATCCATTTTTCTTGTGCAAATTGATGTTTTCTCCCATTGAGAACTTTCAGAACGGATTATTTTTCCTATGCCAGGATTGATAATGTTTGATAAGACAACTGACTTAGAGCCTCATATAGTTGCAATAGGTATTTCATCCCATCTGTAATTGGCGAAAAAAGGTCCATAGGTGTGGGTACACTTGGGGGTTCTGACTCTTTGATGATGCGAGGTTGATTTTGGGAGTGAGTCCTGTCCCCTCAAATTAGACTTCTTAACAGTTATAGGCTAGCTTACAAGGTGGTGCCCCCGCAGTTATAAGATGGTTTATTAACCATAGTAAGTATAAATAGTCTACCATAAACCATGTTGAAATTAGAGTTATTTGCACCAACTTACGTTTACGAACTGGGGCACGACCTTGTACAGGATATATCTAAATCTAAACTCTCAAGTGGAACCGGGATGATTTCAAAAATAAATCAGTATAGTTTGATGAACAAACCTGGATTGCATAGTATTTGAACATACCTCACCAGATGGATTTGTTATAGTTTGAAATAGGTTAACTATACAGAAGAACAAACATGGATTTTTTTGAGGTTAATCAATCCAATCAGATGGTTCGAACAAAACCAACTTACACCTGTAAGTAGCCCTCGCCTCAAATAAGTGCGTAATTACCTGAAAAATACCCCAATCAAAAATACTGCATATGCCCAGGTGTATATCAGTTTATATGCAGTGATATGTGGACTATAAATCCCTTTGTTTAATTGGGTCTTGCGCATCCAAGTGGGGTTTCACATCTGGCAACAACTCCCTGCAATTCATATTCATAGGTTGTCCCAACCTCATCCGTGAATCTATGCAGGTAGCTGCATGATTAACTTTACACAGCCCTAAAAACGCATAAACAGCAAAAATATATTCTAGGTGTACATATAGAATTATATAATATTATATATATAGGTGCCTGTATGTATGCATGCATGTAAATATGTATGTATGCATGTATGCATGCATGGATTTATGTGTGTGTGTGTGTTTGTATGTGTGTGTGTGTATCGGTGTATGGGTGTATGCATGCATGCATGCGTGCGTGTGTGCGTGTATGTTTGTATGAGTGTATGCGTCGACATGTGTATGCGTGTATGTGTCGATGCGTCGATGCGTCGATGCGTGGATGCGTGGATGCGTGTATATGAGGTGTATATGCGTGTATGTGTTTATGCATGTATGTGTGTAGGTGTGTGCGGTTGTATAGTTGTATGGTTGTATGGCACTATGGTTGTATGGTTGTATGTTTGTATTTGTGTTTCTCTGTCTGTTTGTATGTACGTATGTACGTATGTACGTATGTATGTATGGATGTATGCATGGATACATGTATGTATGTATGTATGTATGTATGTATGTATGTATGTATGTATGTATGTAGGTACGTACATACGTACGTACGTACGTATGTATGTATATGTATGCATGCATGCAAAATGAATAATTTGAAAATGTAATTGAATATTTGTTACACGGTTGAAAATGATTGAAAAAATAAATAAACAAATAAATAAATATAAATATAAATAAATAAATATATATATATATATATATGCGCATACATCAAAACATTCATCGTTGGAAGTAACACTGACCCATTCACCTACCCAACATCCCAACCATTTTTTTCACCAGAATTTCACTGGGACCCCCTGGCAATTGGTACCGGCCGGTGATGTGCCCATAATCACAGAGTTTCGGATGTAAATGCGCCTGGAGGCATGTAGTGGCTACAGATTGAACCTTGGAACTGTTGGTTTCTGACAAAAACTGGGAGTTCAAAAGGGATGTAGGTATGGGTCAAATAAAATTTCAGACGCAAGAGACAGGGATTTGGACGATTTTCGTCTTCTTTTTGGACATGTTTAAAATAAATATATACAAATGGTGACGAAAATACATTTGGAACATGTTGGAGCACATTTTGCATATGTAAATGCGCAAATCATGGTTGTTTGTTGTATGCAGTGCGAATGGGCGCATCCAAAAAAAAAACACACCTCGGCTGGCGTACCATTCTAGCCACATGATCAAAGAATCACCTGGCTGCTTTCTTACTACACAGCAAACTCGTCAGCCACTGATGGTGTGTAGTGAAGGTATGACAAAAGAGAACACAAAAAATTAACCCAAAACATGATCCCCAACACCACAAGTCTAGAAACTTCCGGGATCTAAGTGTTCCGCAGCCACTCATTCGCTTGTCCACTTCAGCACACATACCAGTTCACCTTCACCCCCTCTATGCTTTCCCCGAAGAGAATCGAGCAAAAAAACCTGGCTGGTAACTGTGGGGTTTCCCGGCAGAATATAGATTGAACAAACTATTGTGCTTGGCACCCCCTTGAATGGCCCTTTACCAGTTCTATGGGGTATCATTCCATAAATGGGGTGGCTTGCTACTCTAACTTATACTATACTAATTTAATTTAATTTAAAACTGGCTCTTCGGGCCATCAATGTAACCCTGTGTTGATCTTCTTTTGGTCCTTTCGTCTGCTAAGGCCAGGCCTAAACGCAGAGCCAATGCTCATGTAGGGCAAGATGCCTCAGTGGCTATGCGGCGCCATTTCGCGCGGGATCATCCCGCGGATCGCAAAAGGCTGGAAAGCCTGGCTAGCCCAACCCCAAACCTTAGATGTAGTATGACTTAGTTATATTGTAAAAAAATAAGCATACGTCTTTCTGTAGTGTCTATTCGCAATCTTTGGTTTTTGGAAGGATTTCCGCACGATTTCGAATATTGTCCCAGTTCTATGGTTCCAGTGAAGCATCCTGTAATTATAGGCAATTTCTCTTCGAAGATCGCGGCAACTGCTGCTTTAATGATGGGCGGCATACGCACATGTGTAGATCGACACGCGAAGCAGGGGCTGTCAGTTTGATGTTCTAGCCAAACTCATGACTTATGAGGCCGGTTTCAACAGAGAAAAAACTGTTTAGCAAAAGACATAAACAAAAAAAAAACACAATCAAAAACATAATCACCAAAAAAACAACTCAACAGGAAGAATCACCAGAAAAAAAGAAAAATAACAAGAAAACAACAAAAAAAAAGAAAAAGAACAAGAAAACAACAATAAAAACAACAAAAAAGAACACATAAAATCAAAACCTGGATTTCCTAAGTTTTTGTTTTTGTTTTTTGTTTGTCTTTTTTGTTGTTGTTTTGTTACATTGTGTTTTGTGTTTTTTATGTTGTTTTTTTTCTTGTTTTTGGTTTTCAAGTTTGATTTTGTTTGTTTGCTCTGTTGCTTTTTATTTGTTTATACAACCCTCTTTTATCTGCGCCGTTGGCCTGATAACTCAAGACATATGGACACTCTTGCGACACCAAAAAGTAAGTGTCAGGATATGTCAAGATGGTTGTGCGTATTGGCAAAACTTGAAAGTGTTTTTCTAACAACATTTGACTGTTCTTGGCGCTGCAACCATTGCCAATCAGCCAGATACCCTGGAAAAAAATACAAATTCTTTGCTGGTGAACGTAGATATTCCCATTGATACCAAAAGACTAAAGGATTAAAGTACCCATCTAAGAATTAGCCTACAATGTGAGGCCCCCAAAATAGCTAAGTTGGTGCAAATAACTCCAATAACTATGGTTTATGGTACTTATAACTATAGTTACTGGGGCTTATAAACCAACTATAACTGGGGGGGGTGTCACATTGTAGCAACCAGACAATTTCATTAAACCGAAGGGTTCAAAAACGTTGCAGGAAACCCTGGTGTTTTCCCGCATCCGGATGACAGCCATGGCAGCCGAAATTCAAAATCAGTCGCTGTTGCTAAAGAAATCCAATGAAGGAAAGTCACCCCCAGCAATCAGCGAATTATATCGAACTATCGTTTCTAAACCCCATGTAAATCGTTCGAAGTACATGTGTTTTTCCATAAATCCAATAAATTCATCTAGAATTCCTCTAGTCAATAGATTCTTAGTTAATAAGCTTCTCAACTTCTTATATGATATTCGTAGTATGAAATCCCATGAATTTTAAGAATCTCCATACATCCCAAACAATGATCCTCTAGTTCGTTTTTCCAGACAACTTTGTTTACGGGACAAGATGGTGCCCAGTTATAAGTTGGTTTTTAAAATTTGTGAACTGTAGTTATATTTCCCATAAACTCAGTTAACTACAGTTAACCAAGTTATAAATCAATTATATAAGTGTAGTTATTATTTAAGTAGACTTATTATCTCTAGTTAACCAAGTTATGTGCGTCAACTTAGCGTTCACAAACTGGGGCACCACCGCCAGTAGCCATATGAAACCTTCCAAGGTGGGGCCCTTTAGCCCTGAATATTTCGCGAACGCGAACGGTCGTTGCTGCGTAAGTCCAATTAATCTGTAGGGTTGATGAATGGGGGTTCTAAACTAGTTACCCTCTGGTAATTTAACATAGCTATTGAAAATCACCATTTTTAATGGGAAAATCCACTATTAATGGTCATTTTCAATAGCTACGTTAAATTACCAGAGGGTATATAATTAGTTGATATAAGTTGGTTTATGGTTGATATATCTAAATAATCTATAGTTAATGGGGATGATAAACCAACAAACATCACTAGGGGAAAACCACCTTGTATAGATTGACTATATAGATTATCTATGGTTTACGGTATGTATATAGAATATAGATGTCGTTTATAGTCAGGTTTATAAACCAACGGCACGGAGGGGGGCCTACCTATCGTATATCACATGACTTAGTTTCAACCAATAGCTGAAACAATGAGTTACCCTCTGGTAAACGTTTACATAACTATGGAACATCACCATTTTATAGCTGGGTAGTCATCCACTATTTCTATCACCACGTTCAAGTTCGCAAGTTCGTCAAAGTGTAAACGTTTACCAGAGCTACGGGACTGGTTTTGCTGTCGCTATTGACACATTTCAGTGGCTAACTCGCTATTCCGAAAAATATCAGTGACGAGTTGGACAAGTATAAGTGATGAGACTTATTAATAAGCAAACTTACGGCATATGACACTACCGACATGTTTTTGTTTTGCCTTTTAGGAAGGTTTTGCGATGGCAAATCATCCGTTGATTGGTTGATTCATCCTTGAACACCTGGGTATTGTCAGAATCAACTCAAGCCCCGTAGAATCTAAACCAATCTATGAATCTAAGAATCTATTAGTTGGCTAGTTGCTTTACAGCCCCATCACTCTGCGTTTTCACGAGTCATCTCCACTCGACACTTGTGGCCATGACTTGCCCACATTGAGTATATGGGGGCTTCCATAGTCATGGTGCTACCCCAATAGCTGGATGGTTTATTTCATGGAAAATCCCAATCTAAAATGGATGAGAACTGGAGGTAGCCTCATTTTTGGAAACCTCCATATGGGTATATTGTCCTTTTCTGACTCATAAAGTAGCTACAATGTAGCTATAACGTAGACTGAGTATTTCTGGGTAAAAAATCATGGTCGTCTACCAACGAGTCTAGTCACCGATTCATAGCTGGTGACTGTTGGTTTATTCGCACACGCCAGCTTTATCAACTTTCTATGGGATTCTCCGGTTGTGTCAACAAGAAAAGTCACTGAAATATTGGAATCAAACACAAAGAAACAAAAACTTGGTGGTGACCCACCCAGGAATTGGAAGTGGGTTGGCTCACCCCAGTTGCTGCCTGACAAGCCCTTCCCCTACATAAGTGGGGTTATATTCCACTTACGATTCCTTGTGTGAGTCACCAAATTTGGGGGGTTGTTCATTTTTTTAAGCCATTTGTATACTTCTATCGGTGACTCTAGCTGGATGTTCGTTCCACCTAAATGTATGTGAATATGTGTGTATATATATATACATATCTACCCTATTCTACCCTCTAGTCATACAACATAACTACGGACAGGTTCCATTTTTAACAGGTAAATCATCTAATTCTATGGTCACTTTGCTTGGCGATAAGGGTATATTATGACTCGTCTTTGCAACCGTTGTGGCCCATGAGTTTGCTTGTGGCTTATGCCAAGTTTTTGTTGGTGTACATCCCCCTTGCTTAGTGGTTTTCCTGCCAAACTGTAAAGTCATCAAGCAACACAAGGCTGCCCCCAAAATAAGTTGGTTTACAACCCATCCACTTACCAACTTACCCTGGTTGGTGGTTTCAACCCCTCTGAAACATATTAGTCAGTTGGGGTTAGTAAGTATTCCCAATATATATATATATATATGGAAAAATAAAAAATGTTCCAAACCACTTACCAACTTACCTATAATATAGAGGTCCCCACGTTCTATCACCAGCAACAGGGGTTGGGCTCATTCGAAGATGAAATCAGGAGTCCTTACCTCTGTAGCCCTTAACAGCTACAAATGGGACTATAACTCCTTCAACTAAGGTTCAAAATTTCACTTCAATGAGGTTATAATCCGGTCATAGCTAGTTGGAACTGTTCAGGAGACCATTCTATTTTTTTCATGGTGGTATGAACATTCCAGAATAAGGGTAATTGTATAATCCAACCTTTGACTCGACTCTCGCATGAACTCAGAGGTCCATTATGAGACAGCCCCGGACTCTGGTGGTGGGGTCAGTGCATTTGAAACTATGGTGACTGAATATGGTGAAGGTCAAGAGAAGACCAGGACCAACAATCAGAGCGCCCCAAGAGTTGGTATACGATAAGAACATGCATCATGCACATAATTGTAGTGTCGCAAGATTTAACCCAAAGGGAAGTGGGAATCAAAACAGAACAGGAAGGGTGAGGAATCGCAAGGCGCAGCCAAATTTTCAAGTGCCAAAGTAGGCAACCTCCTTTTTTTGGGGGGGTTGTTTAAGCACCCCAACCTTTGACCATGGCACATGCAGCGCAAAAATCAACCCAGCTTTGCAACCCACTGAAGGTTCCAGGGTTCCAGGGTTTCCAAGGTCCCGGAACCCGGCTTTGAGGGGCTTGCATCCATGATGCACTAGTCCGACATCCAGAGATGGAAACCCAACCAGCACTGCTGTGGGGAATTTGGATCACTACTTCAGTCCAACCATTGCAATATAATCATTTAAACACAATGTCATAATTATCAAAACTGTCATAGAACATATATCATGGAAAACTTATCATAGAACCATATTATTAATAGATAATGAACTAGTAAAATGCAAGAAGAACATAATGAAACTCACCCGGCTTTGCAACCCGCAGGATCCAGAGGTCTAGGACTCTAGGGTGCCGTTCCAGCGTTTAGGTTGGAAAGAAAAAAACTACACACCAGCCCAAAACCAAAAATTGAAACCCGATGCTGTTGTCGAATTTTTCTGGCAAACGCAATCCTACAAAGATGGAGGAATCTTGGAAGTGCAGTTCAAGTAGTGGATAGATTTCACCATAGAAAAGCAGGGGTTATAGCTCAATTAAAATGGGGGTTCTTTCACCATGGCTATACCCAAAAAAGTAGCCTTAACTACACCACCAAGTACTGCTTTCCAAGCTTCACAGAAGAAATTCTGGAATCTTCAACAGTATACATCATATAACATAATAATTATTCCCGAAAACTCTACCAGTATTTTCCAATCATTTTCTTACTGGTGCTAAACGTAGGGAATGTTCGGGAATGATCCACTGGCTAACTATCAATGATCATCCCAGCAACCGCCAGCAACCGCCAGCAACCCATCCATTCCCTGCGTAAAACGCACCAGTAAGTTGTTCACTGAAATTCCCACTGATTACCCTCTGGTAAACTAACATAACTATGGAAAATCACAATTTTATAGCTGGGAAAACTCATTATATAAATTGTCATTTTCCATATGCATAGCTATTTTGACATAACCAGAGGGTATATCATGATATCATCAATGGCCATTCCAGGATCCTAGATTGGAGGTACTTACCATATATAAGGCCTATGTAAGGCCTATGTAAGGCCTATGTAAGGGAATATCCCCACAAAATGTGGCCTTTATGGTACAGTACCTCCAATTTAGGATCCTGGAATTCCCATTGATATCATGTTATATCCACGACTTGACCCATACCATCCCATGATGCCTAGTTGTGACACCAGTGATGACGCCAGGGTCTCCGGCCCATGTGACAGTCCGAAACGACCTCGGTTTTCAAAAAGGGACCCCAAGCTGAGGAATGAAACCTTCAGCTATAGCACTGAACAGTCTTAACCGGTTTATAACCTAGTCTAAGTGATATGTATGTGTATATATATATTATGTATATAGAAATATTATGTATAGATAAATATTACGTATATATAAATACTATGTATATATATTTTTTCCAACGAGCACAAATGGGCTCCCAACAGCAACTGATGGCAAATTGGCCATTCCGCTTCACGAAATAAAAAGATGTAAGAATAGACGAGGTGAAAAATAATCACTTCTCCTAAAAGGAGGACACTCGCAGTTAAAACAGTTTTAATGTACAAGGCTACAACTGTCAGAGGGGGTGTGATCTATCAGAAAAGATGAAGAATGCCATTGAGTGAGAAAATAGGAAGTCCGGCGCAACATCTGAGAATTACCAAGAGCAGTACCTCGAGAGGCCAAAGGCCTTTGGGACAGAAGTCCCGACAAACATCATTTATTTGTAGAGAAAGGTCCTATTCTGTTTACAGCAGCTTGTTTTATATCTGCGATCAATTGTCTGTCGTTAAAATCAAACTGTCTGTCTGGTCCATATAAGTAGTAACAAGAATCTTTAAATGTTTCAATGAGCCAATCTGCTCTGGGTCTGCCTGGTCTCAGTAGAGGAGGGGTTCTAGACGAAAAAATAGTATGAGAAAAGGTAACTTGAAAAAGGGGGTCATCACTGCGACATCTGAGGATATGTCCAAAAAAATTGCATTTCCTTTTCCGCCATGTTTCACCAAAGCTCTCATAATGACATCCGTATTGGTTCTTGATCAAATCATACATGCGTTCGTTTGTGTATTGCCTATCGATGAAAGTCGGGGGAATGTCAAGAATCCTTCTGAGGGACTTGTTTTGGAAACCGTTTAGTTTAGATATTTCCGCCTGTGTGAGTTGAATGCATTCAAGACTATATAGAAGTTTGGATCTAATAATGGCGTTGAAGACCTGGATTTTCCATTTGATGCTGGTACGCGCCTTTTTCCAGAATAGTTTCAGCCTGTTGCAGGTAGCTATACAGTCGTTTAGCCGGTTGGCTACCTCTGCTTTATTATTGAAAGAGTCTGTGAGGAGAGTGCCAAGGTATGTAGCGGAGGATTTGCGTGGGACTAATGCTCCGGCTGCTGGTCCGTTAGGTGAAAATCGTACAGAGGAAATCCTTTGATTAGCAGTCAGGTTAATGCACTTGCTATAATTTAATTTTAACCCAAAATAGGCCGAATGTCTTTCGATAGCGTGAAGTAGAACATTGATACAGTGAGTGTTGGCTCCAAAAATGAGGGTATCATCAGCAAACAAAATTTCGGTAAAGGAGATTCCATCGAATGGTTGGCGTTGTTTGGGTGTGTTAAGCTCAGATTTGATATCAGTGAACATAGCACTCATTACCAAGCAGAAAAGATAAGGAGAAAGGGGACAGCCTTGTCTTATTCCCGTTTTCTGCTTCTTCCAGTCCGAGTCAATTCCATTCACAGAAACCTTGAAGTCAGGATTGGAATAGAAACACTGAATCAATTTAATGATTTTAGCAGGAACCTTGAGCCTTTGAAGTGTCTCTATCATTTTGGAATGAAGAACCTTATCAAACGCCTTTTCCCAATCTAGTAAAATCAACGTACTTGCAGACTTTGATTTTTCGCAGTAATCCTGAAGGCGTCTTGCCAGATATATAGCTTCAGCTGTGCTTTTGGATTTACGGAAGCCGTATTGGGTAGGGGTAATCCATTTGTCAAGCCCTTTGTCCAATCGGTCTTTGATGAGTGCTGCGAGGATTTTGTAGCAAGTGTTAAGAAGTGAGATAGGACGGTAGTTTTCCAATTGTGAAGAATCTCCTTTTTTATAGATGGATACTACCACTGCTCGGAGATGTTCAGGAGCCAAAACACTGGAGACTAAGCATTGATTGAGCGCATCAAGAAGAATTTGTCTGTTGTCCGCAGACAACCATTTGAAAAGTTCTCCAACGACGCCGTCTTCTCCTGGAGTTTTATTATTCTTTATACGCGCAATAACTGAATCCAATTCTTCAAGGGTAAACATTGAATCATCAACTACATGACTTCCATCCTGTAATGCCACATGCTCTCTAGTAGGGTTTTGAGCGGGGTTGGAAGAGCCCCATTGGATATTTTCAAGGTAGTCGGCCGCTGCTTCGGCGTATTTATCAAGTGGAATGTAATTGCCAAAACGATCTTTAACTTTTGAAAATTGCGGCGTGAATTTTGAACGAAGGCGTTTTAACCCTGACCATTGATAACCTGACGAGTTGATTTCCTCCAGTTGTTCAAGAAGGTGATTTTCCTTATCATGCTTTACCTGCTGTGTAATGTCTATGTTTATAGTTGCAGCAAGGTCCCAATCCTGAGCTTCCAGCGCTGACCATCTTTGTTCAAGTAAGCGCCATGTAGCTTCAGAAATATATTCTTTCTTTTGTTTCGGGTGTCGAAGTGGCAAAGAAGCTTTGGCGCTAATTGAAAGCGTCTGGTTAATTTGTTGAACGGAAATATGTTGGTCTTCGGCGAGGTCTTCCTTCTGTTTTGAGAGTTCGTAGGAAATAAGGCTGTTATAGTTGGTCAAATTCTCTTCTGTAGGCTTGTGGAAACGAACTGGTAAGTTAGCATGTTGTCGTGGTTTTACCTTTAGTTTGAACAGCACCTCAGCAATTAGAAGTTTGTGGTCGGTATCAATAGTGTGGATATAAGTTGACTCAATGTTTTGGATGGAATTCTTCCATGGCGAATTGACCAGGAAATAGTCCATCTGGGCATATTTATGGAAAGTAAAGGGCGGTTCCCATGTACGAACACCTACAGCACGATACGTGATGAGATGCTCCTCTGCTTTTTGAAGGAAAGTGTTTTTAATAATCATGTTACGCTCCAAGCAGAATTCGATTAAGCGGGATCGGTTCTCAAACTGAGCATCACTTAGAAAATCAATTTCATGTGTGTTTGCCCCAAAAGTGAACGGTACAATAACAGAGGATTCCGTGGGTAGAGCTTTTATCAAACGCGCATTAAAGTCACCGCAAATGATCTTGGGGGAGTAAGCATATTTTTGATCCATAATGGTGTGAAGTTCCTGATAATGTTTGTCAGAGGCCGTTGGGTCCGTGTGACATGCTTGAGGGGCATATGAAGAAACTATATCCAAATCACCGATTTGCATGATAAAAGTACCTACAATGTTTCTAGCACTGATAGGTTGGACGGATTTTAAACATCTTTGTGCTTGTTTTGAGAAAACGATACCTACTCCCAGGTGTTCTTTGGCCTTCTGAAAAATACGACAATGTTCTTCGTTGCGCCTGGACGCCCGACCTGTCCTAGCTAAGGCTTCCGCGTTGGCTCGGTCTGTGTCAGCCACATCGGACGACCAGTACATGTCGTAACCCTGATGTGTTTCTTTTGAGTTGGAATTAATCTTAGTTTCTTGAAGACATAAGATATCAATTTGATATTTACCCATCAAGTGAACAAGTCTTTCCCTTTTGGAAATTGACGCGAGTCCTCTGCAGTTGAGGGAGGCAATCTTAAAGCCTTTTAACTCTTTGTTGAGTAAAATGTTATCTTGGTAAAGTGAGTCAGGGGGGGAGTTTGAGTCAGTCGAATCAGGATTATCGAAGTAAAAAGCAGAATCGAGATTATTTGAATTGCGGAATGAGTTGTGTGCAGATGGTGTTGCCGTTGGATCTTGGGCTTTGTACGCAGCTGCCTGACCAGCCAAGTCATGGCACTGCGCCCTGATTCGTCTATAATGCATGCGTTGGTCGTGCCTTTTTAAGCTGCGCCTTACTCTTCTGTTGATCAAGGCAGTAACGCTTCTACACTTTCTTTTCAAGGTTTTTTGGCTCTCATGTTGGTTACCGCTGACAGCTACTTTGTCGGTAGCCGTGCGGCTTTCCCGCATCGCCCTGTGAGGGCCTGTTGGCAGGGTATGAGTAGATTTGGGGTTCATGTTCTGTTGTGAAGGTTTAGCCACGTAATTTCGGGTGTTAGCATCATTGTGAAGAGAAAGATTATGAAAAGTCAATGGTTGGAATTTATTTTTGTGGGAAGATTTAACTTTAGAATGCGTCTTCTTCTGAGAGTACCACGAGATTACCTCGAGAGGCTCGAAAGCCTTGTGGCGTGCGCCACCCTGAACTACGGTTGAGTGGTTGCAAGCATCCATTCTTTTTTGCGCCCGTGCGGCTTTGTGCGAGTGGCCAGTGTCGACACCCCTCTGATGCAAAAGCTTTACTTTTGCTAGAAAAGAGGATTGAGACTGTGTCTGCTTGGCAGACCCTAGTCAAAAGTCTTCGGAGAGGACATGGATCTGATAGGGCGTGTTGGCATTCGTCAGGGCCCTATTCCAAAGCTCCTTCCATGTTCCCCAGTGATCTATTTCATCAGCCACCAAAGCGAAGGTAATCGTAAAAGGGAACTTGGCATTCGTGGAGTGGGATGTGTGGTTTGCCGGGAAGCTGTTCTGTTCACTTTCCTGGCTTGCCGCACTCTTTGACTTGCCTTTTCCTTTACCTTTGCTCTTTCCATTGTAGTTGCGCAGTTCGTTGAACTTGTCGATCATCGTCTCCTTGAAATTCTCTGGATCCTGGATCAGCTTCCTGGATAGGTAGAGCACCATCTTTCCAGCTGCAGGTAAGTAATGACACCATAGGATGTATTCTCCCTCTGCAGTGGTGAGCGTATGATCTCTCCAGCTATGGCGGAAAGTGATTCCCCACATTTCTACCACAGCCATTGCCACCTTGAGCGGTAGTCCAGTTGTCCTATCCCATAGGGAGACTTGTGGTTGTACTCGGATTTCTCGAGCCTTGTGGTCTTTGTCTTGGCATGGCCCAAACGCTTTTTGGATCTTCTCCCAGCTGTTTTCAACATGGTCTTTGACAAAGTGTCGTTCTTTGAGCATGTCTGCATTCAGGCGGTTCTTGGTGAAGTCCAGAAGTTTCGATCGTTGCCATGGTTGGGTCACTGTCACCACAGTCAGTGGTGAGAGCGCATCACCTTTGGTTTGGTGTGAGAAGCGCCAATCCTGGTAGTAGAAGCTGGAAAGGCCAGCTCGTTTGGCTATGTCTTTGATAAAGCGCTCTCTCGACTCAGCTTGTGCTTCTAGCTGAAAACCTTGCTCTTCAGGTGAAAAGCCATCAGGCTTGAAACTGCTCCATCCTCCCACTAGAATTTCTCTCTTGGCCTTTTCCCGGAGTGTGTCCGAATGCTGTGCCATAAGGTAAGCTGTTTGATTCTTATAGCCGGCCATCTCAGACTGTAGTTCTTCAAGAACAAGCCTCGTCATTGGATCAGCATGCATAGGATGGTCAGGCTTGTCCTCTTCTTGTTTCTCAACTTCTTTGTCATCATCTGTTCTCAACTTGCGAGATGCTGGTTCTGGAGTGAGACCTGTTGTCTCATGCTTGGATTTCGACATGGCTAGAAAAAGAATACGAACGAGATTGCAAGGTGCCCTGCCATGAGCCACGATGCTATATATATATATATATATATAGTATGATATATTCTGTATGTGTATTGATGTATACAATACCCTTAAAGTTGCAGGTGTTAAATTCCCATTTATAACTGTTGAGGGCCGGAACTGATGGGTAAGAAGTGGGCCCTTCTTAAATAGGGACAAACGGCCCCCCGTTTTCGATAGCTAAGTTGGTGCAAATAACTTCAGTTCAACTACAGGGTTTATGGATGTTGATGGTAGATTTACATCCAACAGTATCCTATGGTAGTTTGTGGATGTTTATGGTAGATTTACATCATTTATGGATGTTTATGGTAGTTTGTGGGGTTTAAAAACGAACTTATAACTGGTTTCCAGGCCCAAAAACGCGGCGTAGGGATGGGACAAGATGAACAGATTCGTTCCTATCCATGCTAAAAGTTTAGCCTCTACTTAGATGGGCCGTGGGATTAGCTAACTAGTTAGTAAGCGCCCTATAAACTACAAAAATATCCCAATGAAATAATCCATTTACTAACTACTTAACTAACTCCATGGCCCATCTAAGTAGTGGTTGTCTATAAATTGCGATTATCGCCAAACAACCCCAAAATCTCCCAGTTATTGGCTGGGAATAGCCAAGTTGGAAAAACTGGGAGGACCTGCTTTCATCTCACAATATATTCTTCTGAATAGTGATTCAAACTTGATACCCCAGGGACTAACATAGATCTGGAAAACCAGTGGTTTCCCGTTTGGGAAATGCTCTACAAGTAGTGGGTTCTCCACATCTATACTAGTTCCATGGGGCTTTGAATCTGGCTGAAATACTATGTGAATATATGTGAATCATGACAAGCGGGATATGGAGAAACTATCAAACACATGCATCAATCAGGTCAATAATCCCAAGTCATTCAGTGCACCCGAAGAAGATCTTTTCCTAATCTCAGCTGATGTTGTTTTTTGTTCTAAATGGACATATCCTACTTTCCAGGAAGCATCCGAGTATTTTAGGGGAATGCGTTGACAGCAATCCCCCTATATGTGGAAGAAATGTTTCCTCTTCAGTTTTCCCAAAAAACACAGCAATGAAAACGGATCACCTCTCAGACAATTAGAAAAACAAACGACAAATAACGATCTGTTGTACAGTTATGGCCCTTAACAACTATAGGATGAAACCATATCACAAAATCACAGATTTGTTGTACAGTTATGGCCCTTAACAACTATAGGATGAAAGTTAAACCCTGCAACTAGGTGGATATAAATCACAATTCAATCATTTTTGTCGAAGCAGTAACTGGCTTAGTAACTGGTGAAGTAACCGGGTCATCACCGCCCAATCCCATCCTACAAGGTGGGCCCCCCCCCGTTATAAGTTTATAGTTTTCAATATCTAGTTCGATATATCCACAAGGTGGTGCCGCAGTTCGTTGGCTAACTTGGTGCAAATAAGTCCAATAACTAGGGTTGATATAAATGGGGCCTATATCGAACTAGTTGGGGATTATAAACCAACGTTCACATAACTAGGGGAGTACCACCGCCCGTACCATAAGCCATATAGTGAAATGAAACTTAGATACACCGACTTAGCGAACTCACCATGGTTTTCCCAGGCTTTCCTAGGCGCGTTCACGACAGGCGCACCGATCCCAGCGAGACACCACATCAGAGATCACTGTCTGGGGCGCTGCAAAGTCGGACAAGTAGATGCCCACCTAAAGACGACGGCAGTGTTCATCCCAGTTATGGCCTATGATATATGTATGTATATTACTATAGTCTTACATTATCATAAATATGAAATGGCCTATGTGAAATGTTTATTCCATGAAACATATTCATAATTGATGGTTCTTACATTATCATATATATATATATATATATTAGATATATAATATGTTTATAGGTATTATATACATATATATATATATATTATTAGTAGTAGTACAGTATCATACACATATAATTGTATGTGTATATATATATATGTCTTCCCTGCAGTAAAGAAACATGTCCAGCCAACAAGCCAGTCAGTAAATTTGTATAAGCCGCCTATATTTTCACCCGTACAAGGTGAGGCCTCCGTTGACGATGGCCATTTTGACGCTTACGCAAGCAACTTGATTTTTAGGTTCTGGTTGACGGTAGATATCGAACTACTTCGTGGGCATCCTGAACCAACGTTCACATCACTGATCATAAAAAGGTCATCACCTTGCAGGTCATATCATATCACTTTAATTTTGCTGCCCAACTGGTTTTGCCCTTCAATCCGAGGGAAAAGTAACGTGTTGGGATTGTTTGAGATACCTAGACCCTTCAAATACACCAAAAACATGTTTAAAGTACTATTTAAAAATGGGATAACTACCTAATTTCAAACAACCACATTTTGATCATGTTTGAAACTAATAGAAACCACAATCTTCCCATGGCATCACAACCAGCCCATCCAAAGTTTTGGGGACTCCACGTGAGCAGCTTTCCATACCTCGAGGGCTCTTAGGGCATGAAAAATGGGATGAAAAATAACTCCTGCAACTGTTTTTTTTATATCCCTATGGATATCCCTATGGATCCAGTTGTACCTTCTTAGGAAGTGTTTGGGGTATGATTTGGAGGGTTAAGTACCTTCTCAGACAGTGTTTGGATCCATAGGGTATGTCACTCAAATGATGTACCAGTTGTACCAGTTATAACTGTGAAGGGCCACACTTGTAGCTGGTTAGTAACTGGGGTTATAACCCGTTTCCAAATGGGATAATCCAAGGAATGGGGACTTGTGCGAACCAGGCTTATTAACCAATGACTAAGTGGGGCGATCCTCCAGGTAGACGTCCTGGCACAGCTGAAACAGAGTTGACATGGGAAGTCACCATTGCCACTGGGTAATCACACCCAAACTATTTTCATGTTCTCCCATTGTATCCCACTATTTCTTCACTTCTTCACCGGCGTCAAAGGGAGTCCTTGCTGCCAAATGCATAGTTCTCTAATTAGATCAAAAGGAGCGCCTACCCCTGAAAATCAGGCAGCCAAGAGGCCTGGGACCTGATTGCGGCACTGTCACGCGCAATCTCGCCGATCCACTGTACGAGGGGTGGTGCAGGGCTATCGGTAAGATTTACCGCTCGAGCCCGAATGTTCCTTTGCAACTGATTGGCTGCAGCACACGCAATGCCAGCTGAGAGTCTCTGTGGATACTCCTTGTGGCAAGCTGTTCTGAATTGACCCTCATCATGAATGCCTATGGAATGAGATGTTGGTCTGATGGCATTTGCATCAGCATGGGAAAAAAGATCGCGTCTAAAGAACGGCATTCTCAGTTCTCAGTGTCATCAATCCAGTCGGCTTAACGGAGGCGGCTCCGAACTTCCACTGTGCAATTTCATGCAAAGTGATATCAGGATGCTGGCGGAAAGTCGAGAAAGAGCACTTCTCCACACGGAAGGGTGGTGTCCTTGTTGTGATAGTCCAGGATGCTCTTCTACGAAAAGTCCACCATATGCTAAATGACACGCAAGCGTCCACAGAGTTTGCAAGAAGAAGGCGGTACCTGTCTTCGTTTGCAACATCTCGCGGAACGTGCGGTGGTCAATGCCAAAGAGCTGCATAGCTGTGCGGAGCGGCCTCGGCCACTTCCCATGCGCAAGCTCCGGCGGTGGCGGATGCCACCGAGCCGAGGAGAACGTCTCGCACGGGTGGCCCGAAATTGTTGCCGCAATTTTGTGCTGGAGGTAAAGTGACCTCAATGTGGACCATGACTCCGAGCGGACGTCCAGGTTACCCAAAACGGGGGAAATCACTGTGTCCATGGAAATGATCGTCAGGGCAATGTTGGTGCGCGATGACCAAGCAGCCAGCCAGTGATGAATGTCATGCTCTCGACGTCTGCCCGAGAACAATACAATTACAAAACACGGCCGCGGCTCAAGGCGGAATCTTGGGGTCCGGAGGCATGTCTTGCCATTGCACTCGAAGAAGGTCTGTCTGCCAATCTTCTTGCTCCTCGAAAAGTCGAGGCACTGAATGCATGGGCACAGATCTCGGCTGCGCATTGCTCTGTGGAGGTCGTACAGGTCGATGAGCCTCTGGTAGCGGAGCAGGAGCATCCAATAGCCGGATTTGATGGGCCAGCCGTGTGATACGCTCCCCAATCTGGTACTCGTCGAACTGGAACACAAACTCGGCATACTCATTGTCAAAGTGACGCTCCATTTCGCCATCCAAAAGGCCAGCGATGAGGTCCGGCAGGATATGGCGCCCCCACAGGATGAAAGTACGCAACGCCCACGATTCAAACTCCAATGGGAGCCGTCCAATGACGTCAATCCAGCGATCTTGAAGGCGGTCTGCTTCACTCAGATGTCTTCCAGCAGCACAAAAATCCTCATACCAACGCTGGGAGACAGGCATGCCGGGCATGTCACAGAATCCAGCAAATGATGCTCCAAACAGTACACTCCATGGGCTCGTCGCCGATGTGTATGGACACCCTGTGGCGTGGTGAAGCTACGATGACAAATCAGGACAAGGAAAAAGATGCTGTTGAATCCACATCAGTGCAGGGTCAGGTGCAAAGGTACAATGAGTTTTCCGCAAAACATCAAAAATCTCTGCGTGCCACTGCTGCACTTCCAAGATCATTGCTTCCTGGAAAATATGTCGTTGCGCCGCACGTCGCACTCGACGGCGCCATCTGCCAGAATCACGCTGCCAAACATCGATCAGCTCCGTCAATTGGTCCAGGCCGAACATCAGCTCCATGCAACCATCGCAAGTCATGCCGGAGGCTTAACCTTGAAGCCTCGTTCTGCAAATGCAATCCGCACGAAATCCAACAAGTCAATCAATGCGGGCAGAAGCTCATCTGCATACGTGGTCAAGATGGGGATATAGCAAGGTCATCGCTCCAAATGATCATGTCAAGCTCCATGCCAACCATCCGGGAAATGAAGTCAGTATGGCCCTTCTGCTGGAGGTAGTGCTTGAGGGAAATGGAAACATCATACATAACGAAATGAAACACCGCATCAGCTAAAGGGGAACCCGGTCTGGTTCTCCTATGAGTTCTGATGAAAGCATCGGTTCCAATGGTCATCCATGTAGAGTCATGCACACTCCTCAGTAGACGCACCAAATGCGCAGGGGCTCCGAGCTCTTCCAATAAGCATGGTAGGGTACGTCCAAGTCGCAGACGCTCTGCAGGCGTCGCAGCAGCATCCAAGGCAGCTAGTACATGTTGAAACTTGCTGGGATCATGAATGCCAACTACCATCTCTCGTACCAAGCAATGAAATGCAGTGCTGCTAAGATCAACGAAGAGCACCCATGTTCAAGTTCGTGCATTTCGCTGCACAGCCCAAAACTCGTAAAGTCTGAGAACCGAAAAGGATTTCTTGTTGTGCGAATCCGCCCAGCTGGCCAGGCAGCCCCTGATGGAAAAGCAGGCTAATAACTTCTTTCCTCATCAATGCATGAAAATCTTTGGCCAACGTTGGTAAGAGCAAGATGCCACGGAAATGTTGCACTTCTGTCGGCTGTGGGCACTTAAGGATGAGGGCCATAGGGCCCCCTTTGAACTGTATAGGCTCCTCACCCAACATCCACATCTTGAGCAGGAGCAGAAAAGCGTGTTCAGCTAAATCTGCCGCATGCCAATGAAACAGCGCAGAGGGAAAAGGATCATATCCTGTGGCGCGTCCAATTCTGTTGGCCCTCAGAACTCGCTCAAAGTCAAAGAGCTGTGGCAGGTCAGCAAAAGTTGGTGGTTGTGGACTGCGTGCTTCAACATGTCTGCATTGAGCCTCATGAAGGAGGGTCTCAGGGGTAATGGCACAGCCAGCTTCAAGGGTCTCAAAATGTGGGTTCCAATCATCTTCAAGTCGTAAAAGACGTAAAGGATCAACTCCAAGACGACGTTGCTGGTACTTGGGCAGAGCCTTCTTAATGGTCTTCCATAATTGACGAGAAGCGGCTGGGTCCAAAAAGGCTGCACCGTCACTCAAAATGTCTTGAAAGAATCTGACATCATCATGTCGAGCTGCTTGGGTCACACGTCGACCAAAATTACGGAACTCAAAAAGGGCCCTAGCAATAACACGATCTTGCTCACCCAATAGCATGAAAGGCACTCGCAGAAGCAATGAGATCATGTTCAGGCATGTCAAGGGCGATCTGGCGCCATTGGGAGAACACGGCATGCAACTGGCTCTCTTTTTGAATCGCATTGGCTTCCCATAAAGCCTGCCTCCATTGGCGTTTCTGAAGAACAAGTTCCCAGGTACCAGCAGACATTGATGTCTTCCTCTGAACTGGACCCCGTGCTCGTTGGCGTGGCAAGCATGCTGCAACTTGTCATTGTTGTTGTAGTAGAAGAGCATGAGAATGCACGTCAATTCCAGGTCCGATGTTCTCGGCAGTGCGTAGAGCTGTCAAATCAGCTGTCTCCACCGCGTGGCTCGCCTCATATTGTGAGGGGAAGAAGCAACCTCCATTGTGATGTGCACAAGTGCCGCTCGATGATCTTCATGGTGGAGTGCGACATCAATGTTGTCAGCAACCCATGAAGTACATGATCGTACCATCCAAAAAGTCGGCAACCCGACGAAATCACTTCGCAGCCAATTGCCATTGGGGTGCCGCCAAGTACCTGATGGTCCTTGATGACAATTGAAGGTACTGGGCAACCAAATTCCATGCGAGCGCACAAAAGAGGTGAAGGGTAGAGCTTTCTCATCTCCCTTCTCAGCTCCCAGATCACCAATCAAATTGCAACTATCAGCGCCCACCCGAGCATTTGCATCCACGAGGAGCAAGACAGGCCAGTCCGCCAGTCTGGATGGAACCAGCGAGGCAAGGGACGTCCACCATTGGTCCAAAACCTCCACAGTGTTGCCTGAATGGGGCGCATGTGCTGCAATGAGGACACATCTCAGCCAAGGGGTGTAAATGCGGAGCAGTACGTATCTGGCGCCAGTGCAGATGACAGAGATGTCGTGCTTGGTGAAATAAAGCTTGCATTGGCGTCCCTGGCTGTTGACATAGTGACCATACGGAATGGTCGTGCTGATAGCTGCCAAAACACCATGATGCCCTTGGGGTGTTGCATCACCCTTATAGATGAGGTAATCCTCGAATTGTGGACTCATTCTGCGCAGGCGTGTCTCTTGGAGCGCGAAGATACAAACCTGCGCTTCCTTGAACTGGGAGAAAACTATCTGCTGTCGTGTGGGTCCAGTAATGCCAATGTCAGTTTCAGCTGCAAATCTGGAAGTTGTACAGCAACCAAAAACACGCAGCATGTTGTCGAAATTGTGCATCATCAGTCAAAGCAAGCCAATGGGAAAGGTCAGAAATTGGGTTGCCTTGGGCAGCTCGTCCAGCCAGGTTGTCGGCAATCTCATTGCCAACTTCACCAGTGTGGGCAGCAACATGATGTGCAAGAATTCGGATTGCAAATCGATGTTCTGCATAGACTGTCAAATGTCGGACAAGCGCTGCAAGGCTTGCATCAGCTTTGGCATCCCATCGGCCTAAGGCTTGGTTGCCTACTGTGATGTTGTCGTGCATCATGGAAAATTCAGGAGGAGCTGCCTGAACAAGAGCAATGATCTTGAGGATATCGATGCCATATTGAAGTGCCAACAGCGCACCACGCACTTCAGCTCCATAGGAATCAATATGAAGGGGTAGGGCGATCGCAAGTGCACCTCCAAAAGTCCAGCCACGACCAAGCTGATACAAAAAGGCAATCGCTGCAGCACCAGCTCCTTGATCACAATGCGAGCCATCATGATAAATGCGCAGATGGGTGACAGGCTGTTGGCAAGCCCACCAAACTGAGAGCCATGGGTGGTCATCAAAATCACAATTCAGGCAGAACTGCGGCTGCAAATAAGTGTTGTCATAGATGTCCCATGCGCGCACGATCTCACCAGCATCAAGCCTGATGGTCGGCAGAATGGGAGATTCACCAAATGGAATCGCATCTGTTGCATTGTGTGGGCCATGGAGATCACTGTATGCTGTCAGCAGCTCTGCTTGAATGACATTGCGTAGGGAGCAGATTTGGTTGTTAACCACACTTGCTTTCCGCTCAAGCTTTGCAGCGCGTTGAAGCAAAGAAGTGGCAATAGCCTCCTGAGGAATGTCACGTTGAACAGTCATAGTGATGGCCATCCCATGCCTCATAATGATACGTTCCTCTTGTCCAACTTCAAGATGATCATACCAAACGCGACATTGTGAAGACATGACATGTGGTGGGCAGAGTTGCATGTAGCCCATCAAGGCGATGATTTCCTGCCCAGTGGGATCAACAGAACTACGCAATGCCCATCTGCGCAGAATGCTATTCCAAATGGCATCATCCTTCACAGAAACTAAGATGCTCCTGGCGTCGTGAAATGGATGTTGTATAGCAGGATCAAATGAAGGGCGACAAGGTCCGTTTCCTCAATGGGGTCAGGATTGACGACAGCAAAGTCAATGTCAATATTGGGGTCAAGCCGGTCACGCCATGCTTGACGCAGAACATGTCGCCATGTGGTGATATCCTCAAAGAGGTCGACATCTCGAAATTTCTCACAAATTGGCCAGCGAACATGGTCATTATACCAAGTACGAACACGTACAAAGGATTCCATTTGTCCTGGTCCAAGTTGAGCAAAACTCTGCCATTGCAAAAGCACTTCACCTTCAAAACCAGTCAGCAGTGGCGCCCAGTCTGTCGCATCATGTTGTGGTAAACCATGACTTTCTTGAATATAGATGGCTCTTTGCTCCATTGGATCATCTTCTCGACGATGCTGGCGTGGGACACATCGCAGATGAGGTGTGATGGATATCTGTTGTAAAGCAATCTCATCAACAAATCCTCCGGGGTGAGTAGTAGGCATTGCATCTAAGTCATTCTCAATGTCATGGTGTTCATAGTAGGTGACAATGCGTCGGGCTGGGATTCCAAGCTGAGCGCATCGAGCTGCTGGTCGTGTAGGGATCTGTTGCAATTGATCAGGCACAGGTGGAATCACAATGCGAAAGAAGTCACCATGATCAGGCCAAATTTGTCGAAGGTCTTGTAGTGGTACAAGGACATGGTTGCGCCAAATGAGACAGCGGTGGCGATTCAAGTCACAATAAGGTGCAAGTCCTAGAAACACCAGCAAGTTCCGACGCGTAAAAGCTTCAGGGACCATGTAGGCACCCCGGACGAACTCCACAGTGGTGCTGGGGCGATGGGCATGGAATTCAACATCTATGAGCACGAACTTGTGCGTAGATCCCAAAGGAGCGTCGCCACGTTTTTCCACAATCACTGCTTGTCGTCCAGCTGCACGAATGTTGATGGGTGGCCAGCGAACATGATAGATCTGGACGATTTGATCAAGTTCCAGGCCAATGATCTGGGCAACATTGCGCCTATAGAGCGCATGATTAAACCAACAGGCCCATCCTTCACCAACAGGGTGGTCAGGGCTGAAAGCAGTCAAAGGATACCAAGCATTGCCGTCGCTATTGCTCTCTGAATCAGTATCAGGATCATCATGGTCCTCATCAGCACCATCCACCCCAAGTTCATGGGGTGCAATCATCTCTTCCATGGGTTCGTCGCCAACAAAGTGCGGCGGAACTGCCTGGATGTTGTCCATGATAGGAGCCGGTGCAGGTCGATTAGCGCCAAGATGTACTCCAGCAGCAAGGAGAGAAAACGCATCATCATCAACAGCAAGGGGTTGCGGTGCAAATGCAGGATGGTCAACATGGACGACAATGCTATCATAGTCATGGACCAAAAAGGGATCCTGTAGATGATAATGCAGATCGGCAGTCTGGATGACACAACCTCGACCAGGTGATGAGCATTGCTGCTGCAAATGTAGTTGCAAAATAAGTTGTGATCTGGTAGTCCATGGCAATGTGATCATAGCAAGCTGGTTCAAAGCATTGCGATACTGCCCATGGAAGAAGGTTGTACAAAGATCAACAGCATGGCCGTCAGTCTGCTGATGAAGAATAATATGCCCTTGATGATAACGCAGAGGCATCAAGGGAGGTTCAGGCCGTACCAGTCCCAGATTCAGCGTGTCAAAAGGGTCAATTTCATCTTGCCAAAGTTCACGAATATCTCTGACTCTAAGCCAATGGTGCCAAAACTGATCAAGTCGTAGAACTTTGGGAACAGTACAACTTCTTCTGCGGTGGCCGTGCAAATACCAAGTCAAAAGGTAAAGGATTGGACCTTCATCGAGGTGCTCAGTGATGGCTTCTCTGTCGAAAATGGTTCGCAGGTCTTGCCACCAACTTGGTAATGCATCAATAGGTGGAATCCACCTAGGGGCCGGCAAATTGGGGTCGTTCATATCTGAGGCCCAACTTGGTCCATGTCGGACATGTTCATCACCAAAATCACAAGGGCCTTCATCATCATCGGGCAGAGCGCACATCGCCGGGCTCAACACCACCAGAGGTAGTGGCTCCACAGCGGTGCAGCCGCCTGCATCTTTGGATTCAGGTGGAAATCTACAAAATTGGGTGCTGGCGTCATCAAAATGGACAAGATCATCAAAATGAACACGAAGTCCTTTGAAGCTTCGAAATCGTGGCATTGGCATTCCCAACTCAACACCAGTCTCAATAGGAACATTGAAGTCAAAGGGATGTAGTTCAAGATGAAGTCCAAGAGCTTTTTCACGAGCCATCCAAGGAGAGACAAACCAGGTTTGATGGACTGCACTATGATTCCACTGCAATGTCAGGGCAGTGGGGTGAAGGGAGGGTGCCCCTCGGTCACTGCTCCCGAAGGCTGCTAATGACCAGGCCCGCCAAAAGGTGGCGCATCGCCCTCTTCTGCCATGTCCACGGTGATGACATCCTTGTTGTCGTCTCGTCGAGGCCGCTTGCTGCGCCTCTGCGCTTCTTGATGCTCTTGTTCTGCCTGTGCTGACAATTCTGTCAAACTGTTGGTCATACTCTCCAGACCACTCAGAATGCGTGTGGTTGAGACTTGAGCGGCCTGTGCATTGGCCTCCTCGTCGTCTGAGATGACGTGGGCATCGTCGGCTTTGGGCTTCTGCGTATCGAAGTTGGCCTTCGCCTTGTTCAACGCTTCCTGAGCCGCCTGAATGTCGGCTTGGCATTGGGCTTCTTGCTTTTGAAATTGATCTGTATAGTCGCGCCAAAAAGGTGCGCCAGCTGGCAATCAGGTTGGTCCTGGCATTCAGTGCGGCATCCATGGCTTTCTCCGGCTCTGTGAGGACATCCACTGCTGAGTGTAGCTGTTTGGCATTCACCTTGGTCTGCTTGGCGGACTCCTTCTGCACAAAGGCTTGCAGATCTGAAGACAACGCATCCTGGTCCTGCTTGTTCAACAATCCCAAGACCTCGTTGAGTCGTTTCTCCGCTGCCGTAGCTGAAGAAGCTGAGGTCCCTGGTGCTGCTGGCATTGACATCCATGGGGCCCGCACTGCATTGGGGCCGGAGATAGGGGGCGGCGGTGGTGGAGCTAGCGGTTGGGCTGTCTGTGCGGGGCCCTGGCTCGCATAGCTCCCCCCTTCGCAAAACCATGATGAAGGCGATCTCATCTTCTTGCAGGTTCCACACAACCATCCGGCTTTTTGCTGCTGGTTCGCCATCTCGAACTTGAGCTGACTGATGAATACCGGGTCCTTGGAATGGTGCTTGCTGAGAAGCGTAAACAAGTGACGAAATCGAGGAACTGAAAGTGGTCGGATCCCTTTCCGATGGAGGTGTATTGCAAGTCGTGCACTGGATCTTTTGCGCCGATCCGATCTTCTTTTCGATGCAGACGCCGTATACTGATAGTTCAGGAAGAAGCCAAACCAGAGAAACCACCAGGGCATACGCAAAGAGGACAAGGAAGACACCCACCAGGAAAAAGAAAAACGAGCACTCGCAAAATCGCGGATAAAATCTACGGCAAAGCCAGTTCAGATATTACCGCAGCCAGGGCCGAGCCAGTTCAGATAGATTCGCAACATGTAGACACCCACGAAGTTGTAGTGCACCAGCCAAATTGCGCAGCGACAAGGTCAAGCGACGCAAAGAAGAAGGCCAAGTCCACGTAGAACAAAATCGGGGTACTAATAGCCAATGAGCGATGGTGGTGCCCCCTGCTCTGGAGGGCAGGGCACAAGGTTGCTGCGATCACACAGCGCCCGCGGGCTCAATGGCAAACCCGCTAAGGTAAACGGTCGAAACAACCCAGACGGAACACGGGGTGAGTTCGAACCGAAACCTTATAATTGGCCCTTCCCACATTGAAGGATCTTATGCGGTAAGTACTCATAAGAATGAAACGTTGTACTTTAGGGGTTTGTTCTCGGTTGCTCCTGCGTCGAGTCATTTTGTTGTGGGGCCTGGTGTGTTGGGACAAGTGGCTCAATGGGATGAAATAACTATCGTTGGATTGGTAAAAATCAACAAATGTTACGTTTGAGTGGAGCCACTTCAACCACCTTGTATTTGCCCCGAAGTCTCATCACTTTTAGTCTTTACATTGGCTATATACATACCTAGACCCTTCAACTACTGGTACCCATAGACAATTATTGCTATTTGACCCCAGACATGTGCTGCACTTGTTGGACTGCCTCGGCGGAGCGCTCTTTCCTCACCACACCCTTCTGTGCACACACCTTCATCCGCAACTGCGACCATGTCGATATCATCCTCTGTGTCAATGGCTTCTTGCTCGACAGTGGCCCAACCAACAATGCGCCACTCCTTGATGTCGCAGTGCATCCCACTATTCTCCCAGAAAACAAGCCCTAATTGAATTGGTTGTTGTTGGTGATTAAATGTGATTAATCAACCTATTAGTCTTCTGGGTAAACCATCTTAAAATTACACTAACCTGAAACCTTTGGTGAAAGTTGCAGACAGCAGATGATTCCCCGCAATCTAACCATGATTCCGTTCGGTCGCAGTCAGGTCACCATAATTTACCCAGATGATTCCAGCTGCTAGGGCTTGTAACAATGGTTGCCACTGGGTAGCGACCAATAGGCTGGCTGGGGCTCGTTCGTGCTTGCCTTTGATTGATGCTTATGGCCTATGGCGGATCATAGATCTGCATTACATTACACCATATTTTGGCCTATTACATCATATCATGTAAAACAAAACTGGGTTCATTCCTCCATCACTAAGATTAATATTTCAAGTGCTAAACTATCATGTATCATTTAGAGAGATATGTATCATGAATCACTACTATCATATCTCTTTCAGACTAGTCATTCAAGTGCTAAACTAACATTCACCAGGGTCTACCCAGCCTACTCAGCATGGCTGGATCCCCCCACTGGGGTGATTTACCACAAGGTGGTGCCCCCCCCGTTACAAATGGGTTATAAACCCATTAAGTATATATATAGATATATATATATATCACCTATAAACCATGGTTATTGGAATTATAAACCAACTTAGCTAACTATGGGGGCACCACCTTAGGACCTTGCAGGTATATATCCAGTAAGATTCCAGTAGATATCCCCAGTTGAGTCACCATTAGTGGTTCAATCCCAGAAAAACTCCATTCCCCATTATGCTCCCATCATATGACCATGACACTCCCATCAGTGCCACAGTGCCACATTGTTTATATTATAGTATGTTCCATTTTTACCCCATTCATCACCGTTCATAGTCTATATCTAATTTTCCTATGTTTAAGATTCCTATAAATTCCATTGAATCCTATTATTTCCAGATGGTTTTCCAATGGTTCATAATCACTATATTATGAATCCTAAAACCTATGATTTCCATTGAATCCTGATGGATTTCCATATTATGAACCACTATATGGCCAAACATATGGTACAGTACCTCCATCTGTTGGATCCTGGAGATCTCCCATTGATGGTTCATAATCACTATACACACAGTTTCTTCATAGCTCCGTGTTTTTTTCTCTCCACCCATTCTCCAAAACCCCCTTCCCCCACCAGGTCAGCCCACGGTCCAAAGGTTGGAGGTTTGGCATTGCGATCCCCGCTGCGTCAGCAAGTAAACCTAGGAGCTTTAAGCGACTGACATGGTGATTGGTTACTGGGGATTGGGGATCCCCAAAACCTGCAAAAACCTACAAACATGTAGTTTTTTTAAAGGAAATGCTGATGAATCATCAATTGTTGGAATAATTTTCAATGGATTGGTTAAATGATGATCATTGGATTGAGTATCCAATATGATCAATGGATTTTTAATGGATTGTGAATGGATTGGTTTCAGGCAAAATCTACAGGAAAAACCCATGATCTTCATGGGAAAATCTATGGTTTCCTGTAAATTTTCCCTTAAACCAATCCAATCAGATAAATGGGAGAAACTCCCTTGGGAGAAACGTGGAATATGAAACTCCCTTGGGATGATTCTAATGAAACATTCATGTGAATGGGATATCATAGTCACTAGAAACATGACACATTCATCGCTATGAAATCATATGAATGGGGTCTTGTGGGATTATAAAGTTCATAGCGATCAATAACCTGGATTTGCAAAATATGAAGCCGGTTCCCCAGTCGTAGATGTCTGAGCCCGAAAAGAAAGTTGATCAGCAAATTTGAGGATAAGTGTTTTCATGGCCAGATACCCTGCAAAGAATGAAAGATCCTTAGCTGGCTAGGAAGTAGATAATCCTTTGCCAAAAGACTATTTTGGATTGGTTTCTACCTATCTAGGATTGTCCCACTAACATCCATTAACATCCATTAAACCATTAACATCCAAGATTATCCCATTAACATCCCATGTTTTTAAGATGGCCCTATGTTTTTAGTGGTTCAAAATGTGGTTGTTTACCTGCCACGAGATCAACGGATCGAAGCATCAAATAGGGTATCGATGGCTACGGACTATCGAATGGCTATCTAGTGGAATATAATGGGACTTCGCCAGGCATTGTTGAAATGTTGATGAATTTTTACCATCAACAATGGGAACACTTAAAGGGTGAAGAAGTAACAATAGAGCTGGTATAAAACCAACCGTTGGGATTTTGGCTTGATGGTATACATCAGCAACACTATGATTCAGGTGAAACAGGAGAAAAACAATAGTTGGGGAGTTTTATGACACATGTTACATGTTGTTTTGGACTGGATGGGTCAATCCAAACGTAGTGGATGAGCCGAAATCAAAGAGTGTCTATCATGTTGTTTCCAACTAATAGTTCAACTTAATATATATATTTATATATACATACATAAATAAATATAAATATAATATATACATGTGAAATATATATATATATTATATTATATTATATTATATTATATTAAATTATTTTATTATATTATATTAAATTATTTTATTATATTATATGTTAAATTATATTATTATATTAAATTAAATTATTTTATTATATTATATGTTAAATTATATTATATTATATATTAAATTAAATTAAATTATATTATGTTATATTAAATCATATTATATTATATTATATTATAAAATGTATTTATATATACATATATATATATATATATATATATTAATAATATTATATTAAATGAAATTATATTATATTATATTTTTTTATACTATATTGTATTATATTGTATTATATTGTATTATATTGTATTATATTGTATTGTATTAAATTGTGTTATACTAAATTATATGATATGATATGATATGATATTATAGTATATTATATTGTATTAAATTATGCATTATATATTATATATGTACATACAAACTATATACACTAAATATATGAAGATATGGCATGCATCTATTGATCTATAACCGGAAACCTCCCCCATCCCCTCGCACTCCACCCTTGGCGTCCCGTCCCTGTCTCTCCCCGGGGGCCCAAACTCCGATGATGTTTCCGTGTGCCTCGTTGTTGAAGATGGCTCGCGGAGGGCAAGGCTCGGCCTCGGATCTGAGAGGTGCTGCAACGATGTGCAACGGTGCGTTGCCCCAATTTTCATTAGGCCCCAGGCACCCAAAGCAACCAAACGCTAGAAACGGGGTGCTGCGGCATCTGCAATTAGTCCAGCTGAGGCACGCCTGATGCAACCGGCCTATATGTATATGTGTAGGTGTAGGTGTAGGTGTATGTATGTATGTACGTATGTATGTATGTACGTATGTATGTATGTATCTATGTATCTATGTATCTATGTATCCATGTATCTATGCATCTATATGCCTATGTATCTATGTATCTATGTATCTATGTATCTATGTATCTATGTATCCATGTATCCATGTATCTATCTATGTATCTATCTATCTATTTATCTATCTATCTATCCATCCATCTATCTATCTATGTATCTATCTATCTATATATATATATCTATCTATCTATAAATCTATCTATGCATCTATGTATCTATGTATCTACGTAACTTTGTATCTTTGTATGTATGTATGTATGCATGCATGTATGCATGTATGTATCTATGTATGGATGTATGGATGTATGGATGTATGTATGTGTATATATATATATACATACATAGTGGATAACATGATAGTTAAGTTC